CCTTTTTCGCGGTGTGGTGGCGGTGTGGTGGCGGTGTGGTGGCGGTGTGTTGCGAGTGGCTGGCCTCGTGTTTTGCTTTGGTGCTGTGTCGATCACAGGTGCCACCATCATGCACGAAGTTGAACCTTAACCCGGAGAAGAAGACCAAGATCGAAGAAAAAAGAGCTAGAACACAGATTTACGGACTCTGACGACTTGACGGTGGCGTGGCAGCGGTGAGGTACAACAAGAAGCGATGAGCGAGGGGATGCGGGACCACCGCTGGGAGAAACAATCGGAGCGGTCGGTTTGGGAGGGACCAGATACTTGGGCGCCATCTATCCCCGAGCGAGTGAAGCGCTCGGTGCGCCGAACATAATGTGATCGCCGCGTCGGATGGAGGGTCATCACCTAAATGTTTCTTCCACCACGGTTAAATGTCATCAGGGATTGCAGGTAATAAGCTGGTCCACCAACTCGCCCGCGAAATGCATATCCGGGCACCTGTGATCACCTAGCCTAGCCCTCCCCCCCCCCCCCCGACCAGCGATGAGGCTTTAATTTCAAACGCTCTATCTTATATCACTATAAACAGCTCTATAACTTTCAGCAACGCCTACCTCGGTCTCATCATAACCTTAATGTGACGCAAACCCATACCCTTAGAAAGTTACAGACAAATACCCTTCTAACTCCCGCTAGGCTCTATCACTTTCGATGCCGTTCCGATCCCTCCTGCCCTAACCTTCCCTCCCTAAACACCAATATCAAACATTGCCTGCTAGAGTGCCCGGTTGCCCCTATCCACCCGATTTCTCCCTTACCCCCTCCCACTTCCTGGGGTGCCTGGCTACCGTCTGGAGAACTTTTTCCCACACATGACGGTTTTGCGGTGTGAGTGTTTGTCATAAAAAAAAAAAAATAATAATCGGCGTTTATCGCGGCTTAGATTGAAGGAAGTAAGGCACGGGCATCGAATGCCTCAACCTCCGGAGAACATGCGATTGACCCGACTACTCGGAAAGCGTTCCGATACCGAGGCAGAAGCCAACCGACCAATGGGCGTTGCTCCCCAAGAAAGCAGCGTCGCCGAGTGTGCAGTGGGGGCTGCGTTTCGCGTGAACACACACGATAAAGGTATCGATAAGGTTTTCCAAGGATTTGATTTAGCCGGTACTAGGGTTCTTTTTCAAGGTGTCTTTGTGTATGCCAAAAACACTTGCGTATTTATTTTCCCTGATCCCATTAGCCTGCTAGCTATGGCGTTCCACTTATCACACAGTCAGTTTCCGTGGTAGAGAGAGATCGCTTTTTTTGCCCTTAAAACCGCATCGCTAGACCGCGCTACCTCAGCCACTTCTCACTGATAGAGCTGATTGAAGGGAGATCGATACCTGATACTTCGACTGCATGTCAGGGTAGTATAAATGTTGTCATAATCTGGTGTGAGTATAGAGCACTTTCGTGCGAGAATGATTCTGCATTCGCCCTCCCTGTGGCTCCATGGAAAAGGCGACAACCGCAATGTTTTTTTGTTTTTTTTTTACAAGGGCGAGCAGAAAAAATAAACGCGGTTATTCCACCCGCATCAATAAACTACATATTACACATAGCAGTCTTTTACACATTAATTAAAATTAGTAACCAATTACGAATACGTTTATCCTGGGTTAAAAAGTATTCGATTAGATCAGTTGATTACCTTAGCAGAAATAAATCAGTCGTTCCTGGGTAAAAAAAAAAAAAAGTTGCTTTTCCGATTATTTTAAATTTTCAAAACGACAGATATTTCTCTGGGTTTGACAACGGTTAGTTTTTCGTACAGTTAATTATCGGAGTATAATAACCGAATCATAATATTCTCATTTGTTGAATCTAGCAATTTTGGTAGACCATCTTGCTTTCCGATACTTGGTCCGAAGATGGGAAAAGTTTACGGAAAGAGCCATTAGAAACGGGAGGGGAAAGAGTAACGGTTACAAGTAATTCTAGTAGTTACAAAATAATCAAATTGCTCTTGCGATTACCTTTCTAATAGATATAACCCAACTTTTAAGGCAATTACTCGTAAAAATGATATATTACAAGTTACTTCGTTACTTGTAATCTGGTAATTGTGCGCAACTTATTACGAGACATTTAATTATTTGTAAGAAGTAGCGCACAAGTCTGGTAGAAAGCTACAGATTTGTCAGAATATGATGCTAGCGATGATGATAGAATGCAAAATTTTGAGAACATTGCGTTATCTGGATCAAAAGGTAAAAGTAACGATCATTTGTTTATGAGCCAATGGTGGGTACGATGCTCATCTAAATAGAAACGGGGAAAAGTACGAATTTAACCCACGGATACTAGGTTCAATCCCCACCCCTGCGAGTTACGATTTCGGTGAGCATTTTACCGACGTGCGGTCGTGTATAACTTCTGCGTGGTGGACGTTAAAAGATTCAGGCTAGCAGTTGTACTGAACTGGTAAAACTTCTCCTCTCAGCTGAGTCGCCAGACACCAATGAAGGCTCAATAATTTCCGCCTGTACAAACATACATACAACACATTTTTATTATGTCCGTCTAAGCCTAATTTTGTCAAGAAACATAAATAAACAAATATCGTGGGCGTCTGCACCTTTATTTCAGTGGAACAGACTTGTCATTAAGAAATATGATATTATTTTCTTTCCTGCTGGGGAACCTCGTTGTACTAAAATAAATGTCACAAGCGCCCACGATATGATGTCATGTTTCTATGAAATTACGCTTTTGGAGCACATCGACTCAAAAATAAATTTTTCTCGTTCCTTTTCATTTTTTTTGTTCCAGGTAATGTATGGATTGCTAGCAAACTTTCACGTCCCATCTCCATCGGCGATGTCATGTTCTGAGAAAGTTGCAGCATTCATCAATCTGTAGTTTATTTATGAGGATCGTAGACCCGTGTTATGTTTTGTCGGTCCAACCAGGTATACCGAATTTATTATGTGTCTTTCAAAATGTTCTACACTGCAAAAAAAAAAAAAAGAAAGAAGCCAGCGCATCTATTTTGGTGGGCACGCTAAAGTATCCATTTCAGTCTACAGCAAAACCTAGGGAATGACCAGGCAGAAAAAAAATGAAAATATGTTTATTAAAAAAGGAATTAGCTTGGTACCACCGGGGTTGGGGAGAGATACTGGAAATGTATCCCTGAATACAAAAACTGAGATACATATATTTTGAGGTCAAAATACAGATCCTGAGTTACGTTTGTCTTTCATGTAACGGGATGTCCCTAAGATACTTTTGCAAAAAAGGGCAAAAACGTGTCCCGGAATATAGATACAGATACACATTGAAATACCTCTTTCCCGAAGGTGGTTATTCTCTGCAAACACATGTTATAATGATGCAGTGCATGTCAAACAACTTCATTTGTATAGCAAGTATAAAATATGGCATGAAATAGAAACATTTGAATTATCAAGCAATAAAGATGCTTATTTCACCAGGAAATGCATTTCCAAACTTCGGAAGTGAACTTAACTACATTCAGCATGAATGGCTTTTCAAATAACTTATCATCAAGGTAGCGACAATTCGGTCGCCGTTCCAGACTAGCGAAAGAAAAAAGCCTCCCTACCGCCGCCAGAACTTCCACCTCAACTCAAACGCGAAATGGCATATAACGTGGTTGTGTCTTATATTTCACCAAATGCTAAGGCTTCAAACTCCCACGGAGTTTTTTTTTTTTTTTTGGCAAGCCATGAAACGTGTTATTCGCAAGTGATAATAACTGCAGTCCCATATCTCATTGGACACGAATGCGAATCCAAACATACGTCCACGGATTGACTGTTGACGAGCGCATACGTCTGAGTGACGCAGTGCTCACGTCCAGTGCGTGAGCTGGGGTCGGCCGATGTGCTTTTTTACCGCGGATGTATCGCAGTGAAAAGGCGGAGAGCTTTCGAAGGAAAGGGGGTACGAAATAGTCCGCCATATTTTCGCGATTTCGTCCCGAAAAACAGGCTCTAGACTTTCTAACCTCTTTCTTTTGGCCCATTAAACGATATGCGATTATAAAATTACAATATAAAATCATTTATCCCAGCCCATCAAGCCCTTCACTCTTTACACTTTAGCGAGCGATCGCTGGAAGGAAAACAAGACAGGAGGCGACTAAAGTGGAAAGAGTTGATCGAACATTGAGACATCTTTACGTGTGGTCGTTAAGGTAACGAAGGACTTCTGCATTCACAGAGGTCTGCTCTGGTCTGGTTAAAGACGGGGAATTACCGTCTCCGAGGTCGTAAATGGCGTGAAAGTCGTCTGCCCGAAATGAGCCCTGTTTCGCGTCATTTCCGGTTTGGAACATTGTGATTTTTAGTTTTGCCGGGTAACTTGAAATAGGGGGGGGGGGGGGGGGGGGGGGGGGCGAGTGTGCGTAGCGAATTGTTGAACCCACGGAATCTACAGTAAATTAAAAACCAGGAAAAAAATGACTACTGGCCATTCTTTGAACCACTTTTTTTAATTTTGGTGATTCCTTTGCGCAATATGCAAGGCAATTTCTCGCCCCCCCCCCCTCCCCCCCTAAAACAGACACCTCCCCCACCCTTTTTTTTAGAAGATGTTATGTGGCGGTTTCATATGAATATTGGATCCCTCGCACCAGTCAATTCACATCAACTGTATCGAGATATCTAAGCCCGGCAATTTATTGCGATACAGTCGATACATCGTACAAGTATTTAATCACTGAAATACAAATACGTTTCTCAAATGTGTCCCGATACGGAGATACAGATACTCAAAACTATCTCTAAGATATGATCGTGAAACATTTGTATCGCGATACTGCCGAGTCCGGGACCGCACACACCTCATATCCCAGTAAAATTGTCTTCTGGGCTGTCTTTTTCGCCGTTATAATAAGGTCGCAGCGCATCTTCCTTTTCGTGTTGTGCTGGGAATTAATCATGCTTGAATTCTCAAGATTGTATTGCAACTTTATATGAGCGAAACCGTCTTTGCTCACGCAGGTATACTCAAGGGCAGCTGGACGACGGCACCAAAGCGGTCTACGTCTTCGTCCTTGAGTGGCCGCGGGGAAGTGAGCTCCGCCTGGGATCTCTGCATATCAACGCGGACACAGAGATAACCATGCTGGGAGTGGAGTCGCAGACTGTTACTGTTGTCTCGTCCAGCGAAACGGAGCTGCGTCTGAAACTGCCGGCCCTCACGCCTGACCTGTTGCCGTCGGCCTGGGCCTGGGTTCTTAGGGTGACGGGAACCGCCGATTGTAACGCTTAAAGAGTGTTACTCGGACGTTTCAATGGACCTTTTTACGTCAAAACGACACGATGCGGTGAAAGCTTGAACTAAAGTCGGCGTTTAAAAGGGGAGTAGTGTTTAGTCGCCTGCCCCCTCTGGGACTGATTTGTTCCCATCTTGCTTACAACTGTCGAAGATGAGGCAGGAGTGGTAGCACAACTTTCCTTCCGGACGCCGATCCTAGTTCGAGTTTTGGCCGATACGTGAGGAGGACCTCCACATGCGCAAAACTCTACTTGTAGAAGGTCCATACTCCTACTCGAGGTGCCAGGCTTATGATCTCAAGCGTGTCAGTACTTTTCTTTTTTTATTACTCTCTCTCTCTCTCTTTCTCTCTTGGACACACTTTTTGGTAGAGCAGTACCATATAAGCCAGTGCTGATGCTTGTGGGTAATTTGCGATATGACGTGAATCTTTGCATAAATGTCTTTGTGGAGAAGGGCTGGAATCTGTTCATTTTTTCTTTGAGTTGGTTTTGTGGTTTGGCGACTGCAGTGCTCTCTGGAGGCAAGCGGGTAGCTCCCGTCATTTGGCCTCCACGATTTATGGCGGTACAGGTTTTCCTCCTGATGTTTCAAACTTTCAACTCACCGAGAAAAACTGTTGTGCAAGAAGATTGACAAGTGTTTCACGCTGCGTGCTTGCGTTCGCTACAGCATCAGTGAGCAAATGCTCAAGGCAGCGCATAGCAGCCGTGCTCGACGGTCAGACAATGGAAGTACGCCTTTTCGCGCAGATTGTACTCGCTGATTTAGAGTCAGTGATAGGCCTTCCAGAGCACGGAAACTGACAAGCTTCATCTGAGAACCGCACACTGACGCTCAAATTTATCCCTATATGTGCCGCCATTTTCGACCCTTGCTCAGCACACTGTACTTACTACGCATGGCCTCCGAGACTCTTAGGCCGTGTTCCAAAATTTACTCGATCTTACTCCAGGGCAAGGGTTTTATACCCTTGGCGTTCTAAAACCTACCCGCGTCCAGCGTTTTTCAATCTGTGCTGTCACGTCATACGATCCGCCGGAGTAACTCGGATCCATTTGGGTAAGATTTGGAACACAGCCTTAGCGTGCGATGTTCTTCTACGATTATTACTGGGAGACAGACATAGATAAAGCAATTGCTCTAGGCTGTTCCCGCTGCTTGGTTGCGCTTGCTACAGGGACTTAACTCATCATAATCAAGCTTGCTCGGCTAATTGCCCCCGCAGGGGGCACCTGTGAAAACAGGTGTTTGGAGAGTGGCGTCTCCACGGACCCCGAGCTCCGCAGGGGGCGCCTGCACCTTAGGTGCTAGGTGCTTGGTGAGTAGCGTCACCACGGACCCCAGCCGCGTGGGCCACCATACCCGCACGCAGGGGGCACCTACTTTAGTAGGTGCTTGGTGAGTGGCGTCACTACGAACCCCGAGCCATGTGGGTTCGCCCACCCACGTCTGGCTGTGCGTGGCGTACCCGTGTCCGGGGAAAAGGGGACCCTGGTGGTTGAGCTGAGCCCGGGGTATGTTTGGACCCTTCGGGGCCCCCTGGGCGAGGCAATACACTGCTTCGACCCCTGCTTCTCGTAGACGGGTGTCCTGGCTTGGCCCGACCAGGATGATTCAGTCAGTCGCCTCTTCTACCCTCTTCTTCCTTCTTTCACTTTTCCTTCCACCTCTTTCTCTTTTCTTCTGCACTCTCTTCCTTCCTTTTTCACCTTCTTAGGCGGCAAGGGCTAACCTTGAGTGGAAACAGGTCCTGTCCCTGCATCCACACTCGGTTATAGTGCCCGGGCAGCACTGGTAGAGTAATTGTGTCAGCCAAGCCTTTCTTGTTATGGCACATTACCTACCCCCTCGTTGGGCTCCGTGGTGGGCGGTGCACCCGGGCACTGAAATTCCTTCCCATCTTTAGGGGTTCTCGTACTAAACCAACTGATCGGGCCCTGAAAAGGACCCGCACCGAAGTCCTTGACATTCCGACTAAGACTCCTGATCTTTTTAAATTCTCAAAGTTTCTTGTTTTGCACGCTGAGGGTGAAAAGCCACTGGCTAAACTTTCTCCATTTCTAGTATCTAAAGTGCTTGAAAGTATTATTGGTGCGAACTTTAGCGCCAAAAAGATGGCATCAGGCGACCTCCTTGTTGAGGTGAATACAAAGAAACAAAGTGAATCACTCCTAGCCCTAAACTCTGTCTCAGACTATAAGGTCAGTGTGACCCCTCACCGAAAGTTGAACACCGTCCAAGGGGTCATCTCTGAAGATGACTTGCTCGACTTGACAGATACAGAGCTAGTTGAGGGTCTCTCCGGACAGGGAGTGGTTGCAGCACGACGCATCACCATCCGTCGCGACGGCATAGAACGTAAAACCAGGCATGTCATTCTGACCTTTGACTCCACGACTCTACCCACTAATGTTAAGGCAGGCTACCTTCAGTGCCGTGTCCGGCCTTATGTGCCGAACCCTCAGCGCTGCTTTAAGTGCCAAAGGTTCGGCCATGGATCGCGCAACTGTCGGGGCAGCGAGACCTGTGCCAAATGCTCTAGTAAGGAGCACGTCGCTGATGTGTGTGAGAACGAAGCTCAGTGCACAAACTGTAAAGGAAAACACCCAGCATACTCCCGATCTTGCCCGTTATGGAAGGAAGAAAAAGAAATTCTCACCTTGAAGGTTAATGAAAACATTTCCTACATTGATGCCAAAAAGCGTTTTGCCTTTGTTTCCAAAGGCTCGTATGCCCAGGTCGTACATAGGGGACCGGTACGGCCAATGGTTTCGACTGGAACACAGACGTCTACGGACGATCTGCGCCTCCCGTCGAGGTCTCCTGCACCCTCGGGAGCGGTGCCAGTGACACCGCTTTCGAATCGTAAGGTGGATGCTGCCTCCTCAGCATCCACCTCAGGGCAGGGGCTGACCCCCCCTGCTCCACCTGGCCCTTCGGCCCCTAAGGGCCGAGGCCTACCCCCTCGCACCTCTGCTCCCCAGAGGAAGCCCGGGGAGTCGCCGAAGCAGACGACCTCCAAGGGTCAACTGCCGGCGGCAACAGACGAGCTCATGGACGTAAGTGGGCCCAGGTCCGAGGAGGATACTCCCCTCTCAGGATCGGAGTCGTCTCTTTCTGTTGCCAGTGACCCCACTTGTAAACAGAAAGATCCTCCTAAAAAGCAGAGTACCCCACGTGTAAAAATAGATTTTAAACCTTAACGGATCTCCCTTTTAGGTCACTTTTATATATATATATATATTTATTTATTTTTTTCGTTTAAATGGCAAAAAACTATAGTATTATGCAGTGGAATTGCCGTGGTCTTTTCCCTAATATTGATGACATAAATTTTTTTCTTGATGAGCTTCGACCTGTCGCTATATGCCTACAGGAGACTCATCTCAAGGACACACAAACAAATGTTCTACGTCGTCATCAGGTTTTTAGAAAGGACCGTGCATCCCATAGCAACTCCTCTGGTGGAGTAGCTGTGGTTGTGCAGAGTGGTATTGCCTGTACTTCTGTTCCTCTCACAACCTCTCTAGAAGCAGTGGCAGTTCGTATTCTTCTTGACCGCCTTATTACGCTTGTTTCACTTTACTTGCCACCAAATATTCCACTGCATTTACATGACCTGCATGGACTTGTAGCGCAGCTTCCGCAACCTTTTTTAATCTTGGGGGATTTTAACGCCCACCACCCCATGTGGGGTAGTGCTCGCCAAGACTCCCGTGGTGGTGTCATTGAAAGATTTTTATTGTCATCCGGCCTTTGCCTTTTAAATGGACATGATCCTACATTTTTCAGTGCAGCTCATAATACTTTCACTTCCATCGATTTGTCTCTTTCATCCCCAACTTTACTTCCCTGTTTTTCTTGGAAGGTTTTAGATAACCCTTTTGGGAGTGACCATTTTCCTGTCTTTTTAGAAAGTACTGTAGCACCTCCATCACTTTCAACACGTATCCCCAGGTGGAAATTAGACAAAGCTGACTGGGCTCTTTTTGCATTGGAAGCAGTGCTTGACCCAGCTGAACTTTTAGCTATGACTCCGGAAAATGCCACCTTGTACGTTACGGACCGTATCATAAATGCTGCTTCAGCCTCTATTCCACAAACATCTGAAAATCTTCCTAAGCGCTGCAAGCCTTGGTGGACCAAAGACTGTTCTGTTACGCTTAAACGTCAGAACAGGGCCTGGGGCACTTCCTGCCACTACCCAACTGTCTGGAACAAGATAGAGTTTAAAAAATGTAAAGCAAAGGCTCGTTGGACAAGGAAACGAGCTAAGAAAAGCTCATGGATGAAATATGTTTCCAAGGTGAACAGTTTTGTCACTACTAAAGAGGTGTGGGACCGAGTGAGAAAAATTCGGGGTAACTACCTCTTTTTTAGGACGCCTCTTTTTCCCTCGGCTTCGCCAACCTTGAAAGGCCAGGCAAATGTTCTTGCGGAACATTTTTGTAAAGTGTCTAGCTCATCTAATTATTCGGCAAAATTTAAGAAGTTCAAAGCTGTAGCAGAAAAGCAGCCAATTGCTATGTCAGGATCAGACACTCTTGTATACAACCAGCCTTTCACAATGTGCGAACTCGAGGTGGCCCTTGGGTCAAAAAAGCAGTCGGCACCTGGTCCTGACAAAATCCACTATGAAATGTTGCGGCACTTGTCTCCTGAATCTCTAGGCCATTTGTTAACCTTTTTTAATCATTTGTGGATGGCTTCTGCCTTTCCTCAGTGCTGGAAGCGGGCACATATAATTCCTCTCCTAAAACCCGGTAAAGACTCTACTCTACCAGCAAGTTATCGTCCCATTACAATGACCAGTTGCCTTGGGAAAACTTATGAAAAACTAATAAATAGACGATTAGTACACTTTTTGGAGACTGAGGGAATTTTAGATCCCAATCAGTGTGGGTTTAGAATGGGGCGATCAACATTGGATCATCTTGTTCGCCTGGAAACTTTCATACGTGAAGCTTTTGTTCATCGACAGCACTGTGTTTCAGTATTTTTTGACCTAGAGAAAGCTTATGATACTACCTGGCGTTACGGGATTCTAAAGGACTTATACACACATGGTGTCCGTGGCCGCATGTTGCGCTGCATAAGGGAGTTTTTGACTAACCGAACTTTTCAGGTTAGGTTTGGTTCCACACTTTCGGATGTTTTTCCTCAGGAGAATGGCGTCCCTCAGGGGGCTGTATTGAGCGTCACTTTGTTTGTGGTAAAGATAAACAGCCTTGCTGCAGTGATACCTCCATCAGTTTCATATTCATTATATGTAGATGATGTGCAGATTTCCTTTTCGTCCTGCAATCTCTCAAGTTGCGAGCGCCAGCTTCAAATCTCAATAAACAAAATGAGCAATTGGGCCGATGAAAATGGTTTTAAGTTTTCATCTGAAAAAACTGTGTGTGTGCCCTTTTCACTACGTCGTGGTCTGGTGCTTGATCCTTGTTTGCAG